TCTAAAAATATAGATCTTAAGTTTCTAAAGAGTAATAGAAGGATGCAAAAATCTGTATTGGAAGTTAGGCTCTCCTTTTTAAAGTTTTTTTTTACACTGCACTAACACTCTTAGAAAAAAAAAAAGAGGTGGAGAAGGTCAGATGGGCCAGAAAAATGGAACCATTAGAGGAGAACTTGTGCTTCCTCTTCTTTGTGACCCCTCACATGCTGCATCTATTGCCACAAGCTCACATGGGCCGGATGAAAGCTGGGAGATGTAAGAAAGGCATGGAGAGATTTGCATGTGGACCCCTGTCTTTCATCCTTTCCCTTTACTCCTGCTTCCTAGTCCATGTAGCAATCACAGCTCTGGTGTTTGGTATAGGCTCCTCCACGGCCGAGGTCCATCTCAGCCTGGACCTATGGCTTGCACCCAGAACATTTGAAAGTCCCTGATTAAAGAGCTATTCCTCCTATTCAACCCACACACCTTTAAGAAAAGTTGTCCTCAAACAGCTCTTTAAAAAGGAGATATTTTCTTCATAACTGGGCCATCAAAAGCCCAATACCTTGTTGCCCAGACCACGCAATCTTTGTACTTGTGATTCAATCAGATTTTTGATAGGCAATTTATCTAAAATAACCCTAAATATCCTTAGCTGCAGTTTCAAGTGAAAACATTGTGCCCCACATTGAGTCAAATTTTGTATTCAATGTCAGAAATATCTGACAGGTATTGTGCCCTGCTAGGAATGATGCTAAGGCTTAAAGTGTGAAGGATTCACTGTAGTCAGTGGATTCGTCATTTCATTTGCTTGTTTCTACTTTTGAGGCTTTACTGGAAACATGCTCAAAGACCTAAGATTCTGAGGTTGCTCACTGCCCCATGGCCTCCAAAAGGGACCCTATCATTGAAACATTAAAACTAGAAAGGTTCAGAAAATAAAAAAATTTTACAGAAGGAAAAAACTATGAAATTCATTTTACAGAACTGCTTCACTATGTGCTGCCCACCAGGGTCCATCCTCCTCTAGGCAGTGGCCAGCTCTAAATATGAAAAGTAGAATCACATGACAGATACTGCAGTGAACTTGGGTAAATCAGTTTTGTCTCTCTACTGTCTCTTGCAAGAGAGTTAACATTGAATGATAGGAAATATTCACATATTGGTGAACAGAAAAATAAGAATACTGATGCTTGTAAAAAATGAATTGAAACTGGCAGCAACATTATAAAGATTATTTTAATATGAAGTGAATGGCAAGCACTTGATACAGAGGGGATAATATATTGATTTTTCTCACTCTGCACTATCTATGTCACTAAGATCAATGGAAGTCACTTACCTATATCAAGGCAATTATAATATGTGGAATTATTTATAGAATAGCTGCTTCAGGTACACACCAATTGCAGCATCATAATGGTTAGAGTTACAAGCAGAAGACAAAACCATCTATCACATATTGTAAATGATAAATCTTGCTGTCATTGTTTCACCACATTTTTCATAAGCTAAAGAAAGAACTAATAGAAGGATTTTTGTACAGCTTTTTTTAGAGCAGCAATAAACATTTTATAGTTTATCACTACAAGATAACAATTCCATTTACAAACTAAGTCATTAAAAAACTAGAAGTATTTTCCAGAAGTGGGTTGTGCAGTGTACACTGAAGCAAATACACTGAAACATCTGAAATTGTTCTGGATTGCTCAAAATTCTGGGGGTATCAAAGAAGTCGAAAAGCAGCAACACACAGAAACCCAGATCTCCAAACTTCTAGTGCAAAGAAGGCACAAACCTGTAAGTACATGCTTCCCTTTTACAACAGTCAGCAAAGCTGTGTCAGCACTGGCAGGAAAAGAAAAAGCTTTACAGCTACACAGGCACCTTTATAATTTTCATATCTCAAAACGATGGCATTTCCAATAAAGGCTGCTTTTGAATCACCATTTATTTTTACAACTCACTTAGTTTCACAGCATTCTCTATCTCCTACTGTTAACTCTTGAAAGAAGCCTTTCAAAAATCAATCCAGTCTGTTAGGATTCTCGATGTTAAAACTGAATTTTCCTGGTCTATTTGTTCTTTTGAAAGGCTTAAAAGCAATTTGTAACCATCAGCATAAAGGGATTTGATTGATAAAGTTCAACAAAGTGATCTAGAGAAGATTTATTGGGGGAAAACTGCTAAAATTGTAAATTAAATGGCAAACAGTTTTTCTCTGTGTGCTCTTGAAACAAAATAGGTTCTTTCAGATGTGAAAATCATTCTAAAAGTTTCTACAAGTAGTTAATGAAGATTTTAGAAATGCAAAGCATAATCTTTCAAATAACAAACTACAACAATAATCAAATAAAAAGAAACTATAAAAGTCCAAGTGTCACAATGACTACAAAACAAGCCTGTAGACCTCATTCACACAAACCTCAAAAACATAGCTGCCAAGCTTCCCTCAGGAAAAATACAGGAGATTTAGCTGAAATGCCATTATATCTCTTGCTGTGGAAATTATGGCCTTTTTTTTTTTTTCTCCTCTCTTCTGCCTGTCTGCTCTTCCCAGCTTGCTCTCCCAAATTGCCTTTCTCTGCAAATCACCTTTCTCCACCTGCAGTGCCACCAGAGCAGTGCCCGGCTGGAGGGTCCCGCACTGCTCCAGGGAGAAATGCCAACATCCCACCCACCACTGGGAAATGCCAACATCCCACCCACAGAAGCACCTCCAGCAACTGAGGGGCAGTGGGGAGGAAGAAGCAGTCCCTGCTGAATGACTGTAGCACCAAAGATAGGAAAAAAAAAAAAAAGCACCCCAAAGCCAGTTCTTAAACTGCCTGACCAACTCTCAGTGGGAGCACCGTGGAGTTATGTGTCCCCATTTGACACTTTGCTCTCCTGTTCTAAATTTTTGGGCTTTCATTCATCAGTTCATGAGGCAAAAAAAAAAAAAAAGTAAGTTGGCTGTTCTTTTTTTCTTTTTTAACTTCCAGTTTTGTGAACAGTGTTATACTGATAGAAATTAGCTTTGCTACAAGACATATTTATTTATTTATTATCCTGACAGTGCAGGTTATTTTTTGTATGCTACTGCCACTACTTGCAAGGTCTTTGCTTTAATACTTAGACAACTGTACCACCCAAGTCAAAATTATTACCTTCCATCCAACACACCTTTCATCTACTTTAGTGCCAGGTTGTTTCAAATTCATTTACAGGCTAAGAGTAGGATAAAGCTTTTCTCTGTTTAAAACTATAGCAAAACCATAGACTTGACAGTTTTGTAGTGGTACCTCAGCCTCATATACCCATCTCCTACTTTATTTTTTAAGCATTCTCCAGATTTTTTTGGATTTTCACCATACTTTTGTGACTCCAAATTACTGTTACCTGCAAAAATAACTAACGTGTTAATTTCCTCAACTTTCAAATCAGTTACATGATATAAAACCACTCAAAGTTGCTTATATTTTAATCTACAAAAACCTGCTAGACTTTTGTACTAAGAAGTTAGGTTTTTTTTAAATCATGTACATGTCTGCAAAACTTTTCCAATCCACTACTCAATGTTATTCTAACATAATAATGATTTTATATAATTAGTTTTCCTGTATCTGGTAATTTTCTGTAGCTAAATACATTTCTGTATTTATTGGAGACATAACAGAAAAAAACAAAAAAAGTATTTGAAATGCCGACACAAATGAAATTTAACACAGAAAACTCAGAATAGATAAAACATGTAGTTATGAAAGACTGCACACAAGTCATTCACTCACTGAATTACTGCAGGGACTGAGGGATTTATGCAAGGTAAGGATACATACAAAACAATACACCTCAGTTTAATACATCACACTGCACCAGCACCTTGTGAACCAACTCTACATCTGAGCCATTTCAGTCCTCTGCTCATTTACTCTTTGTAAAATTACCCTTTTTCTTTAAAATACCTATCTTTGCCAAAAGACAAAAGGACCCTATGCATGTAAACCTACATTATTAATCCCAATGTTAAACACCTAATTTGACAATACAAAATATTAAGGTCAAGAATTACCCATTACAGATTTTAAACATTACTTAATACTTAATACTTTAAGCTTACTTAATATGTTATTCACAAATCCAACATATAAACAATTTGTGTTTCACATAAATGCAAGATAAGATTCAGTTATTTCTTTGCAGGCTGACCAGAGTATTTTCTGTTAGTTCTGTAGTGATCTTTGTTTATATATTATTCTAATGTTGTGGATAAATTTTTTTAAACTCCCTTAGAAAATATTATTAAAACCATTATGATATGATTAAAACCATGTGATTAAACTCATTAAAACCAATGATGAAAGTTTTTTTAGAGAATCTAGCATCTGGATTCATTTTATGATCAAAACTTGTTCGCTCAATGAGTTTTTTTTTATTCATCAAAGATTCAGGTAATCAGAAATCTTTACATCTTTTAATTACACATTCTTGATAACATCAGTCTCAATTTCAGCACAGTTGCAATTTAGAATAACACATTTTAATTAATTTTTTTAAAGCACAGTAAAGATTTCATCAGATATTAGTGGCAACCACCATCTGTCCAAAGCTATGTGGTTGTTTCTTTTATTTTTAACAACATGAGCTAGTAAGAATTACCAACTGTAACAAATGCTTATTTTGCTTTCCCAGTATTTGTATAAATTTTATACAAATTATTTAACGAATATGGAAAAGTTTTAAAAAGTGTTCTTAAAACAGAAAAGTAGCTGCTCTTTACCTTGGTCAAATTCTACGGTGGGTGAAGTTGATACTTGGAAAGTTTCATATATCTGTCTCAGAAACTGTTAATTAGTGATAAAACACACAGTTGCACAGACCCTGCAGGCAAAGAGCGACTTACCAGCTGGCACACTGCTGGTCAGCTCAGTCAGGGCTGGGTTTATGGGGCCCTTAAAACCAGCTTTAAGAGGGCTCAGTACTGCAGTCCCTGGCTCAGCTCAAAACGTGAGGGACAGGCAAAAACCTCCACGTACCTTCTCATGCAGTCCAGCGCCCGGATGAAGAAGTCCTTGTGGAGCTGATGCTCGTCCCGCAGGATGGAGCACTGCTCCAGCGTCACCGACATGGATGTCCGGTCTTTGGCACTCTTGCAACAGGTGAAGCGGACGCCGTTCAGCTTCCGGCAAATCTGAAACACGGGCAGGCGTCAAAGGGGGGCCCTTCTCACACCAGGCAGACTGTGCAACTCCCACAACTTTGCAGTCCCAGAAAATGAATGCAGAGAACTACAGCGTTTCTCGAGGAGAAAAGAGCTATTAAAAGATTTTGTAACTCCAACCCGGATCATATGGCTGCTGACCTGTGTCTGTGCAGTTAAATCAGCTGTTAGCACTGCCTTGGGGATGCTCCTATGCTGTTATGCCCATGCTGGCCTGACACAGTGCCATGAAAGATGAAAATGTTGTCCTGAAAAGAACTGTAAATTTTTCTTTTGTTTATAAATTTGTATCATTAACACTCTACAAAAACAGCACCAAGAGATTATAGCTATATAGCCCACTTCCATTTGTCCAAATGACACATTTTAAAAGAAGATATTCAGGGCTTCTGTTAGCAGGACAAGCCTAAAATAACCCACCCAACGGAGGAAAAGGGAACCCTTATCACATTTAGGAGAGTGGTGCACACAACCTTGTACTGCAGTCGCAATCAAGTCTCTCTCCTGCCCACCCCAACACCCCCCCCAAGTGAGGTAAGAAACAGATGGTGGAGCCAACAAAAAAAATCTACCATACTTAGTCCTAAGCATTTTTAGCAAGTTACTAAAATATCTACACATACTACAGCTTACCAAACCATTAAATCCAATTTTCTGAACTTGAAATAAAAAGGATTTGTGTTAGCCTAGGCTATAAAAGGAAAAGCTGCTTCATGGTTTCTTCACTTTCTGTGACAACCACACTATTCAATGAAAACTTAATGGTCTGAATATCTGATGAATAAAGAAAAACCTTGACAGATCTTAACTCAGACACATGAACGCAGCAGACTAACTCCTCGTGAGGGTATGGATTCAGACACATCTAAAATTAAAGTCTTTATGCTCAACAGGTAAACTGTTCTATGTATTTTTTTTCCATATGAAAGCTTAACACAAAAGACTGCCATGGATTGTCTACTTTCACTGTATACTTCAACAAAATTATAAGGGACAAGGGAAACATGATATTTTTTAAGGATAATTTCTCACCTTAAGAATCAATCTGTGGTTGTACCAGCCCATTAGTTTATACTTTGGGTTCAAACAATATTTTACTAGAAAAAGAAGAATTTGAAAGAGAACTGCTGTGCCCAAGTGTGGGTCTACCTTTCCCCTGATATTATTTGTCCTTTGCTTGCTCCTAACCCCAGAGGAGCATAGGTTACAACAGTACCAAATCCTGAAATGATTATAAAATTGGGCAAGGCAATAAATTACAGCAGTAATCATCCTAAGGAGCTTCCCAGCTTGGCTATCAAGTGACAGCTTGCAGGATGAAACTGGAACATGATCTTCATAATGTCACTTCAGCAAACAAGCATTTCTTCATCTCTTAATTGCATTCTCAGAAATTCTATTAAAATCAATGGCCCAGAAAATACATACAGTCTTTAAGGTCTTTGCAATAGCATAGTAATGGTGATCTCAAAAGTTTAGTTCAGGGAATCAACTAATTGAATCTATCTTAGAAACCAAAGAGGTTCAGGGTGGTGAAGGAGAAACTATGAGTTTTTCTTCCATCCTATAATTCTAAATTTTAAAACTTAAATCTGTTTAAAAATTTGAACAGTTGCATTGGGATTTAAATAAAGTACTATATGATAATTTTCTTAAATAATGCTGTGAAAGAAGTTAACTGCCTAATTGAAGAGATTAATTCTCTTTACACTAGTCTCTTTGGAAGTCCATGAGTCATTGTGACAATTTGACATGAATGAGTCATAAAAACCACCCAGGTAATTATTCTGGATGAGTGGTGGGTTCTGATGCAGGGAAGGGAGACTAAATCCCAAATCTGGGTTGACAGCACACGAACAAAGCACTGGCTAGTGAGAGTTGGTTTTCAACTGAGAAGCATTCTAGGCACAACAAGCAGATTACCACAGCCACCCACAAGCTTACTTTTTACTGAATTTCAGTACAAATGTCTCAATTTTAAAGTGGACTAAATAGAAAACAGTATATTAAGTTAAATAATGAAATTAAAAAATCCTTAGATAAGGATTTAAGGAGAAATATAGGCTAACCTCTTAGGCTAGCCCAGATAAATCCTTACAATGACTCAGTTCCCTAAGCAGCTGCAGTCAAACAAAATAAGTAATTACAATGGGCAAACACAATGCTCTGATGCTCTAGAAATCTAATAAGGGACAATAGCAAATATCTAGTAATAGCATCATATCAGAATACATGGTTTATCATTAGTGTCCAGCCCGAATTTTATTCTCAATTTTGCTCACTTATTTCCCAAATATATTGAAGATATAGGAGGAGGAGAAATAGACTTAACTTTTATTAGATTTATTCTCACAGTCCCAATACAACAGGGATTACATGAGGTGCAGATACATGTGCACATCCATGTAGAATCTCATGCATCTACTGCAATAAAAAAGTGATATTTCACCTCTACTGCAATAATCAAGTTATATCCTTATATCCTTTTCAGTAAATAAATGGAACATTGTATAACAGTGTGTAGATCGATGCTTTCAGAAATATACATTTCAGAAAGTTACTGTAAGGTAACCTAAAGAGAAATAGAATTCAGAGAAGGAAAAATCTGAAACACTCTGTATGTCCAAAGACTACATTTTACCCATGAAATTATTTTCAGGGAACCCAGACTAGATGGTAGAACAAAACTTTCTGTATCCAAAGATTAGGCACATTCTACTATATTCTCTGTAGCTCATTTTATACTATCCTGTACTGATATATCTTTTACTTTTTTCAAAAGCAATGTTTCATAGCAACTGCAGAACTGGTACTGCAAGAAAAGCTTATACTTTTACTTACAAAGGATTTATACTTCAATAGCATGTGATAATATTTATTAACCACATGGCAAAATGTTACTAGCAATATGAAAGTTACAGCAGTGTTATTAGTACAAAGACAAAGTTAATATTGTCTTTTTCCTGGTCTTAATGAAAGGTCATGGAAAGTTTTATTAATAATTTTGTATCAAATATTTATTTTCCTTGAAGGGTATATACATTTGAAAGTCTCCCAAAACACAAAGTCTTGCTTCAGTTTCAGCAGATATCAAAGACTCAAGTCCTTGCTTGTATAAGCAGGTAGAGATGCCAAGGGTACTCTTCTAAACCTAAGACAGTTAGCTGTCTGAATTTCACATTCCTGAAAAGCTTGAGCTCTTTATAAACATCTAAGGCTTGTGGTTTTTTTAACATGAATGTGGAAACCCCACTCAATTGGGAAACAGAAAGGAATTATGTGATTAGAGCAAAGTAAGTATTAATCATTGTTTGATAAACAGTTTTTATTGTGTTCTCCTTGTGTCTTAAGGTCTGTCCTTTTCACATCCTTTGCGACACTTATTTATAAAAGTACTTTAATTACAGAAAATCAAAAGGTGAATGCAGTAATCGTAAATAAAAATCAGAGCAAGCAATCACGTCCCACATCATACCTCAAATTTTATGGACATTAAATAAAATTTTATTTTGAATAACAAAGTTTTACTTTATCTATGAAGGGACATGATTTTAAACAAAAAAAGTTAGATACTGTAACTGTATTGTCTCTCTCATATGAGGTGATGTATTTACAGCTATGTGTGATCACTAAAGGAAATGATTCTGCCCATGTAAGGGATGAAGGGCTTCCTCTGCCCAAAACCAGAGTCAGCTAGCTGAAGGAAAAAACATGCCCCAAACAAAAATCCAAACCTCTTTTACCCTGTTACACAACTCAGTGAGATAAAAGAAAAACCCTGCATCTGGGACAAAACAATCTCGAGCAGCAACCCAGGCCACAGACTGCCTGGCCAGAAAAGGTCCTGGAGAATGAAGGGGACAACAAAGTAACCAAGACCATCTCTTGCTCAAACTCCATCCAGTTCTACCACTTTAAAAAGTGAGTCAAAGAAAATATCTGTAATTTAAGTGGAGGAAGAAGAGATACATTCATGAGTGGGATGAGAAACTATGAGAGCAGGTAGGTTAGAAAGCTATTTCAGCACATCTACCTACTTTAATCATTGAGTTTTCCATTATACCCTTAAAATCCATTGCACTTACAATATCAGCAGGCATGTGAAAATTAGTTAATCATGTGAACCTATTTGAAATAAGAGAGCTTACCGTTGCAGCCAGCCACATGATTTCTACATTCTTTCTCCTTTTGGCCTGGATGTTTTGATGGAGATTTTCTAGCAATCCCTTTAAATCATTTTGTTCTTGAAAATGTGGTAGACCTGGAAAAAAAGGATGATAAGAGTGCTCATTATGGTAAGGCTGATGATACGGTTTTCCTGGCTTAAAGAATGCCCATAGTAAAGCACAGGTCTATTATTTACAGCCTTGTCTGGGAACAAAGGATGGAAATTACCAGCTAAATATTTAGAGAATAAGCAAATCTTTTGTCTTTCTGAGTATTGGGTTGTCCTCCCTAAGATATTCACTTAAATTTGGAAAACTAAAGTGTCTTCAACTTTTATAAATGGATGGGGAAAACCAAAACCAAATCTCTGCTGTAGTTCTGTTTATCAACTATTACAGACAATCAGTGGAAATTAGAAGAAAAAAACCTGAGTGTATTAAAACCTACCTTGATGGGATGACATTTTTATTTTAAGTCAAAATATTTTGCCTTTGTTTTCAAAATTAAACATCTTATTTTTGCTTTGAAATGATGCCTTAGTTCCTTATATAACATAACATGAAGTTAAACAGCACTGAATATCCCCTCTAAAATTTAACAAAGGATATTTCTCAGTCCGAAATTAAATGGGGCTTCAATTTTGAAGTACAAAATAATTTCAGGTACGCATAAAATTCAAAATCTTACCTTCTTGTTCTGCGTATGGCAGCTGAGCTAAAGTTTAATTTATTATATATCTCTAGCAAAAATTCAAGAGTTTCTGCTTCGTATGTATATATAGCAGGGGTTTGTTCTAATGTTACCTTTATCTTCCCTAGTTTTGAAAATCAGTAGAAACAACTAAAATCTGGTTTTTTTAATTATTTCTTCTTATGGTGGTGAAGTGAATAGAAATTTAATTATAGTTATCACCAAAAAAAGGCTCAGAATCAGCTGAAACAAAGTGAAACCAAATTGATAAATGGATACAGTGTCTTCAACAAGAAGAAGTAAGTTGTTCCATTCAGTGGGGGGAAAAAAAAACAACCAACAACCCAAGATTTATATTCAACTGAAAGTGTAAAAATGAGGTAACTATTAATGAAGGTCAGTATCAGTTCTCCCAATCTGATCAAAGCTGAAATGATGCCTCTTATCAACAGGTTTTATACCTTTTATATCTAACAAATTCTGTAGTTTCCCTTATCCATGATGCTTAGTAAGAAGAAATTTAAATATGCTCAAAAAGAACTATTCAAAAAATGTCTTAGTTGCCTTTCTCATATTGTGCTGCCTAAAACAAAAAAACCAAGCAAACAAATAAAAGCTGGAAAAAATACATCCAAACTAGTTTTGTAATAATCTGACTGTGGATTGTTTTATCTGTGTATTATGCACTTAGATAATGCAGAGCACATAAAAATACATCACAACCTGCTAGACAATTATACTTATGCTGCATCTGTTTCTTTAAAACACAAAGCACACAATGACAAAAATGCTTCAAGATTATGGGAATGTATCACTAGGTAAACATTTTATTCCTTTCAGGCAGTTTTCCTTTGGTTCACAGCAGAAAATTAAACATCCCAGAGAGGTGACTTCATGATAGGTAAAGCAAGACTCTCCTAATTTATAACACTGCCAAATGAGCTGCACCTTGGCTGGAAGTGATCTATTGCTTAAATTCCTTGTGTCACTAAGCAGTATTAAACCATCAAATCAATCTCAGATTATAAGACTCCCTAAGAGGGAGGAGCCTGGAAGTAAAGACAGACTCATAAATGGTGAAAATGCATGCACTGCTGCAGGCATTATTGATGCTATGAAGGAAAACCCTTATCCTTGCAGGATTTTGAAACCATGCATGCATCCCTCTTCTCACACTGGGACAATGGGATGCTGTGGGTGTTACGTAGCAAACCAGCAACAGCAATTTTATGCCTTCAGCTCTTTAAATTGAGTTTCAATCTGTTGTTTTCAATTAAATATGTACTACTAAACAAAAATCTTATATTTTTGGACTCTTAACATCATTAGCTATTCTGTAAAAGCAGTACTGTTGTGGTGCCTAAACCAGAACTGTATTTGACTGGCATTTTTGGTAGTAATCTTTTTGGAAACACACTGTTATTTTCAGGACTTCCTATGAAAGAATTAAAGAGGATATGAAACAGATAAGTGACAGAGGGTATGTTCATCTCAAAGAAGACAGAAAGTCAGTGTTTGGGATATACAGCTACAAGCTAGAATAGTATTGACAAGGGGAATTACAGAGATGAGAGAAAAACTAATAGAAAATAAAAAAAATAGAAACTCCCTTTCTGGGAGTGGAAAATAGAATTCTTTAAAATGAAATACATGAATGAAGCAGGAGGCAAGTGAGGCTGCCAAAGGATGGTGGATGCAACAGCCTGGTAAACAGGGCTGTGAGTCCTCAAATTCTGTCGGGCTGTATGAGCACTATTTGAAACTAACAGCTTTGGGAACTGGGTCCTGCATTTATTTTGTAGGAGAGATTTGGCTCTGCAGGAAACTATCTGGAAAGGTGGGACAAAAACATCAAAAAGCCATCAACACTCTCTCTTGGCTACACCACCAGGGATGCTGCCAGATTGTATGGAGGTTTATCTTCCAGAGGTGGGGGAACAGGGACTGAAGTCCTCCCTCAAATGAACAAGTTGGAGAGCTTCACATTTTTCCAGGGAGCTGGTTTAAAAGGTACATTCCTCCAAGGCAAAAGAGTGATTCTGTACAATGGCCTGGAGCTACTGGGAAGGGCAATGGAACCAGCAGGTGCTTTGTGTTCTGAAAAAATTTGTACAAAGAAGAGACTCGGATCTTCAAGGTAGAGAAAAATCAAGACAGCAATAATAACCAGAAAAAGACACTATGAATTAGACAAGTATAGTTCTCAAAAGCCTGCACAGCCTGGAAAAAGTCCAGGAAGATTATGTGGCTCACTAATAATCCTGCAGGAAGACAGTACAAGTTTAAATGCTGTTAATGAAAAGCAGGCAATACAATCTGCATGCAAATTTTTGCTTTTATATAATCAAATCCATTTATGAGGTAGCAGGTCTACCTTAGACCTAACCCCAGATGAGGTTAGTTTTTTGAGGATATTTTCTTGGCAGGATTCCCCTAAATTAATTACCTAACTTCTTGTTTCAGTTTCTCTGTAGAAATCCTACAAATACTAGAGCTGTGGGTGGATGGATGGCATGCTGCCCACCATTTAGGAAGAGAGCTTTCACTTCAAATTAACAAATTAAAATCATCCTGATCTAAAAGATAAACATGTATTCATACACAGTGACACAGAACAAAGCTTTGCACAGGATTTTAACCAGCAGTATTCACCATGAGGAGTTACACACATCTCCTGCAGGATCACAGATCTTCAGATTCAAAAGATTCACACCCCACCTATGCAAAAAAAAACCCAAACCCAAAAAACAGAAGAAGCAGAGACCAAATCCAAGGTATTTCAAAATCAGGCTGTAAAATCTGCAACATTTGGGACTATGCCTATAGTTTAGGCATTAAGACTACTTTATCAGGATTAGATTGAGGCAAATCATCTCATTGGTCTTTGCTTTTAACAACGAGAGTAACAGCACAATAATGTTCATGTTTATGATACCAAATTTCTATAAAATTAGAATGCAGGGTCTATTTTAATGAAACCATGTTATTCATATCATTATGATGTGGCTCATTGCTTGTACTTGCATCTGCAGATTTCTCAGTAGTTCACCATACCTCAATTCATTTTCAGAATAAGAATAGAGGGAATGACTGAAACGGATTAAAATTCCCACTATTTCTGTACAAATACAGAAAATATTGTCCTCTACTTGAAATATTAAGAAACTTATTATTTTAATAACTTAAAAGAGCTGTTCATTTGATCATTACTCTGTTTCACTCCCCTTGTAGTTTCTACTGTGGCATTAGGCCTGCAATCACTACTGACTTCAGCAGGGCTGTGTACAGGTACAGAATGTTTAACTTTATGGAACAAGTTCTGGGTCTGAGGTCTAAATCTAAAAGCTGCACAGTAAAGCCATGCTAATATTACTGTCTTAGAATCTTTCACCTATCAAAGTTTTCCAAAGCCATTTGGATATTGTGTTATTTTGTACTCACAATCAGGAGGCATTTTTTCCGTAAATAACTTGTAATATTCTTTGAGGAGTTCTAAGTTTTCCTGGTTAATGTTTTCCTGCAAGGTGGTATCTCCAAACCTATGAAAATGCACAATAAATTATGAGAAAAAAACCACAACAAAACCACAAACCAAACCAAAGATAAATTACCCTTCAGAGTTATTTCTTTGCATAAAGAAATAACTTTGATTTTTTTTAATTATTTGTTTTTTCCAGTGTTGAATGTACTAGATTTTGTGAGACATACAGTTGTTAAGCTTTTGTGTGCTTTGGAACGACGTCATTACTCATGGATAATTCTTCCAAAAATTTATGAAAGGAGTAATCCATTTACAAACATGCTATAGTGCACATATTCTTTTTGCCTTCAAAAATCCTGAATAAATGAAGAGGCACTTTGAGGGAATTTCAAATGGCACCACAGGCAGAGAACACCAACTCCTACATCTCTTACTGCTGCTGTTGCTTAGATATATTAATTTCTACCAGAGTTGGACCATATTGAAGTGATACAAGATGGAAGAGATGTAAGTGTCAGATGGAAAACCTTCTGAAGAACTAATTTATGTTCTGATCTGAGAATGCAATAAACAGTCAAACTGATTAGTCCTCTGGGCCCTTTCTGCCCCACACTGCTCCTAGGCTGTTCGTTATCTTGGTTTCTTGTATCTGAAACTAATGAGAGAACCATTTCTCCTCCAAGCAGTAATTTCACCATTAAACTCCACAGTGTTATGACCCACAGCACAGTTGATTCAAGCTTGCAGAAGCACAGACCTCAGCAGTCACTCCAGAATGCTGCAGCTGCCTCAGGAGCATGTTCTGGGGTTACCTGCAGCAGTCAAGTTTGCTGGGAAAGCATCACCCAAATCCTCATTATCCTGCGCCTCAAAAAACCCCCAGGATGCCATTAAGCTCATCCATGAACCAACTATAGCTATGTAAACAAATATCTTTCTCTCTAAGAACAAGATTTCTACAGCAATCAAATTCCACATAGGCTAAAGAACCAAAAAATAAATCTCATGGTATCTCTGCTACAGGAGACACAAACGTAAAGACAGGAATGTCCCTTAGGCAGTTAAAGCCAAGTTTTAGCAACCTATCTTTAGAATAGCCTTGAAATGGGGAAAAGGAAATGGAGTACAGGAAGAGAGGCATGGACAGGTAAGTGAGAAATTCAGAGAGAGAAAAGGGAACACAAATTAGAAGATACCAAATATACTGCTACATCATGCACAAGGGAAGCAAATATTTAAATGGGTCAAAGAGGGAGAGAAAAAAGATCTGTGTGCCTTCTCAGCAGCCATTGCTGCAGTGCCACATGAGAATGTTTCTCTTAAATCAGATATATTCTCAAGTGTACTTTATTGAAAAAAAAGGGGATGTTTTCAACTAATAAAGTAAAATTTGCTAGAAAATTACCACAGAAATGTACTTCTATTTTCTTGTTCTTTATCCCACAAAAAACTCTGTATTTTTTACAAAAAAGCATATGAGGAGTTTCCAATCTCAAAGACAAAAGTGCAACATTAGGAGTTAAGTAATATTTTTAATTAAGTCAAAAGCGGATGGTAAATGCATGCAGGAAAGCTGTTTCTGTATTGAATAATGCAACTTGATTTGCCTGATAGATATTAATACACATCAATATTTATAGATCTGCAGGTAGTGTTTTTTTCATTCATGGCTTTCTTTGTGCATGATGTAAAATCACCACAGTGAACATTCTTCCTGCCATTTCACCTGCAAGCCTTTGCACACCAACTCCTGTACAAGTCTCCAGATAACCAGGCTGTTTCTAAATCTTGTCCAATCTTTCTTCAGGACATTTGCTACACACAATCCTTCCTGCCTATCCCACCCATGTAAGCTCTCATGAACTTGCTTCTTCATTTCTGCACAATCCTTTTTCTCTGCTTTTGGAAAAATTACTGTGTCCTAGTCACAATTGTCATGACTGATTTTGTTGCTTTCATACATTATCACTCTGGGCATGTCTCTCCTCTCAGCACTTTTTTTTTAATGGCATCCAGAATAAGCTATTTTCATTTTCAAGAATCTTCTAAGTTCTCTAACCAACTACTCAGCTCTTTCAGCAGTAAAATGCCAGTTTTTACTGTCTTTTGATTCACTTTGACCCCATTTCAATTTTCTACCTAAATTTTCTCACACATCACTCAGTTTCAAGAAGTCTCCCATAAACATAAACATCCACAAAGCTATCTCCTGGCATTCCTTAGTAGTCTCCCTTAGAAAACTGATTTTCCTCGGCTGCCTACAAAGAACAGAAGGTGAAACTTCTGTTGTGCTTAACTTCTTGTCTATTGTTCAGCTCAAGGGTTTTTCACTGTCTCCCTCTATTTCCCCAGATATGCTTTTGCTTTTGAGCTTGTAGTGAATGCAACCTGAAGATGTGTATTATGTCTTTTGGATGTTCTGTTAATAAAACCAGTTTAAAAAAAAAAGCTTAAAAAAAAAGTAGCTTGTCTCTGTTGACATCTACCTTGTAGTTTTAGCATTGCACAAATGTGGTAATTTAACATGACTGACTGATATTCTTCTCCTAGAAGAGAAAATTAATAGGTTGGTGAAACCTTGGCTTTTATCATACTAATTAATTAGTTTCCAGCAATCCTTACAGAGGAGTAATAGCAACATATCAGCCCTCATGTTTCTACAAACATACTACTAATGCATTCCCTATTACTAACTACCACCTCTCAACCCTGGAAAAAAGCCCTAAAGAGCTGAGAAAAATTATTTCTATCTAGCTTATAACTTGTTCAGCATCTTCAACCCCACCTACAAGATATAAGAATTCTGAATTTTCAAACTCTTTTTTGAGAATTTCAGAGTACTATATAAAAAAAAAATTCTACATCTGTAAAATAGAATTCAATTTTCTATCTGTATCCATAAGAAACTTGGCATCGACTTTGTGAAATGAAGCCCTTCCTACGGTCATATCTTCACTTGGACTCTCATTGTTCTGCACTGCTTCATAACTTGTGTTTATTTCCTTTAATACCTATTAAAATACACACTGAGTAAATGTGAGAAGGTCCAAGAGCAAATAACAAAAAAAGATTTATTTCTAATCCTGAGAGATATCCTGTACTAGTATGGAGTACTTGGACAGAAAATGAAACATGACTTTTTCTTACCTCTCTGCAAGTGTTTGCTGTTCATTGATTCCAACATTAAAGAGTACTGGATACATGCGAAGAAGCTTTCCTTCTTTAATTTCTTGTGGCAGCAACTCAAACATCTTTGCTGGAAGCTGGACCTCTATAATGTAATGTTCACTAGGAAAAATAAAAAGAAGAATAAGGATGGGAATATTGATTGGTTTGCTTAAAATAATCTTCCTAAGTGATAGAGAACACGTAGACTTATAAATCAGTTCCTCCCTTTTTCCTTTAACTGAACTATAAAATGGGATAATTCAGCTTGCTTGTTTTAGAGCATAACCAAGTTATTTAAAAAAAGGCAGATATATATAACTATATACTCTTGATACTGACTTTACTGAAGTGAAAACAGGATGAAAGCAGCAAAAAAAGTCCTCTAGTATCAAAATATCAATAAGAACACCTCAACCTTTAAAATGCATCTTTCTGAGAGTTACAAAAACAACTTCCTTCCAAAGTAACAACTTGATCCTGTATCCACTGTAAAAGTAATATTCACAAAAACCCAAAGCAAAATTTCTATTTTCTTCAGTGGCTGGATTTTCTCCCTGGGGATTGAAAGCATCACCAATAACAAAATTGACTCTGTGAAGATAATAATTGAAGGCTCATTACCCAAACATGAATCCTATTTTAGGAGAAGGGATATGATATATAGCAGTTCTGGTTTTATGTTTGTGCTTGGTCTGACTTTATGAAAAATGTGCTACTCCAGCTGCCAGACCAAACTCTGATCATGGGGAAGCCTCAAGCTGAACTTCTCCTGTCTTTGAGGACTGATGCCTGACTCCACAACAGAAACAAGGGCATACTGTTAAACTTAGTTTTTATTAGCTTTCTTTTCGTTATTAGAGCAATCAGACTAATCAACAAAGAACAGGCTAGAAACAAATCCATCTGTCTCCAAGATTTGTCATTTTAATCACAGGGCTGACTGATAACAGACTGAAATTTTCTCTCCTGCAGAGCACATTTGGCATACCACACCACCAAGGAGTGTCACAGCAAAAGAAGGGAAGAAAGATCCATATCCTACCTAGAGAAACCATGCCAAGGAAGTCACACAACTTTTGTATGCAAATTTAAAATGGATAGCTGCTTGCACCTATTAAAATAATCTATCATGAAATCCCTACAACTCTTATTTTAATCAATTATGTGCTTGCTACAGAATTAAAATACTATCTGGATTACCCACATGGAGAATCTGGGGGAGAAAAGGCAGAAAACTTTGAAGAAAAAGGTCAGTTTCTGCAGTAGCTTTGACACCCTTGGCAGGCTTGAGGGATGAGTGGCACTAGCTCAAGTGTTTGGATAAACAGGTTCCACTTAGAAGAGTTAATGGTCATGTTTCAACTCTATCCTGCTCATATATCTGAGAACAAAATAAAATGGATCTAGTGCAGACCTGGGACTTCAGTGTTACTGCATTCAACTAGGGCAACAGCATAGCCTTCTGTACAGGCTACAGCTAGGATGTAATCTTTGAGCACATCCCACGTGTTCCCCACTGAGAGGGAGTATCAGTTCTGAATGAAGGATACATGTCTCAGGGAGGGGGAAGGAAAAACAAAACAGTTCTACTGCCCAGATAAGTCTTTTTTGTTTGCGTTTTGTTTAATTAATTCACCCATGTGAAAGAAGCAGGAAAAAGGACAGTAGGTAATACGGTTCCAGTGATGTCTGTGTTCATTCTCAGCCTGTATGTGAGCACTCCTGGCTGCTGTCAAGTGCTACTAGAACATTTTTCTGTGATGAAGTGCTTTGATGAGGCTGAGAAGAAATGTTGGTTTAGTCTAATTCAAAGTGCATACACTACTGAACCAAAATGCCACCAAATCACTGCATTGCTACATTGCACTACCCACAAAATCACTACAAATCTCGGTGTGTGAAAGAACACTGAGAAATGCTGACCTTTAGGCATGATAAATTAGCATCAGTACAATTTGAGAGCTTCCCTTTGTCCTTTTTTTTTTTCTCAAAGCTCTTTTTCAAGTCTCAGAGATAATCCTTGGTAACTTTAAAAAAAAATCAGTTACCAACTGCACAATGAAAACAACCCATTTCTGATCATGTAAGGAAAAGGCTATCAAGTTGTGACAGAGTTGTCTAGAAACTCCAGGAATGCTACTGAGGTCAGGTAGAGAAAATAAAAAAGAATTCAAAGTATTGAAATCTGGAGGACTTGTTTGACATTAGTTTACCAAAGATCTTACAGGTCTATGATTCTAACTAAACAAGAAACACTTATATAGCAGTAAATTTTATTGTCATGTGTTTGCTTTCTTTTACAGCTAGATTCAGTGCAGAGTTATCAGGTGATTTTGGCATGAGATGAATAAGGTGGCTACAACATTTTCCAACGAGAAGTAAAACTCAGTACATAATTTGGAACATTTCATGATTTTTCTGGAAAAGAAAGTGGAGAAATTAAGCATGTTTTAAGAAAGTAAATAATAAATCATCATCTCTTTCAGAACAAATTGTATACATTTAGGCCTTAAATATTTAAATGTATATGATTTACCTAAACAGGACTGCTTAAGAATATCCCTCTCTAATTTTCCCTTATTCTCTAATATTTGTTATTATCACATATGGAGATAGACAAACACTTGTAGACCTGTCAGAAGGTTTCTAAAAATTATCATGTTGCTCAGAGCCCCATCCAACCTGGCCTTGAGCATTTCCAGGGATGGGGCATCAACAACTTCTCTGGGCAACCTGTGCCAGTGCCTCATCACTCTCACAGTAAAGAATTTCTTCCTAACATCTAATCTAAACCCACCCTCTTTCAGCTTAAATCTATTGTCCCTTGTCCTATCACTACACTGGATATTAGGAAAAGGTTCTTCAGCCAGAGAGGGTTGGATACTCCCTAGGGAAGTAGTCACAGCACCAAGTCTGACAAGGTTCAAGAAGTGTTTGGACAATGCTCTCAAAGACATGGCTGTGATTCCTGGGGATGTCCTGTGCAGGGCCAGGAGTTGGACTCGATGATCCTTGCGAGTCCCTTCCAACTCAGAATATTCTGTGATATGTGATTCTGTACAGAATTTTCAAAAAGTGCATGTTTTTGCCTATAATAAAAGAATGTGAGTTCCTGAACAGAATTTGACCCAGATGGCTGGGGTCAGCCACCCACACCAGCAGGTGAGCACACTGCTAGTCAGTGCCATGCACTCTGGATTGATTTTTTTTGTGCACACAGAATCTCAGGCTTAAGCACTTCCCTAGAAAAAACAATTTTAACTGAATACCCTGAGTCTTCAAGATAAGAATTTGTAGCTTGATTTTCTTTCTTAGTCTCATTTTATTGAGCCACACCGTATAACAACCAAAATGATCTAAAAATTGTGGGGTTCTTAAACATTAATTAGAAAATATCTAGGTTTTTCACTGTCTTCTCTTTTTACAGTTGACTTCCAGTGCTGTCTGATCACAGCTCTAAGAGCGATGGGGCTCCTCCCTGTAAGCCTTAAAGATTTTATTCTTTTTTCTGATACCAATTCCAGTGAATATCTGCCAGTAAGTACAGTACAGCAATCACAGGTTGTAACTCTTCTTCCCAAAGACTGACTACTCCACCAATCCAGAATGCCTGAGGCATCTTAAAGTTCAGGTGTCTTTCAAACCCAGGACCTCCTGGTGTGACAATTCAGTGCTCTGCCCTAATGGCAGCAAGCCAGAAAATGTAGCTGCTGGATTTTTCAAGATTTTTGACTGCTGTGATTTAAAAAGGATGTCTTTCTTCTGTTTTATCTGCACACCATAATTATTCTTAATTATTCCCAATGTGTCGCCTATCATACTCCAGCCTTCCTGCTATTTATTTCAATCCTTTCTCGGAAGGCCCATAGGATGAGAGTGATTCATCCAGAATAATTAAGTAAATCAGTGGTGAAAACCCCCTTCAGAAGAAACATATATTTTCTAAAAGTTGCTGCTTTTAGCCAAATTTAATTTACAGTCGTCTTAAGAATAATGATACTATTAAGTGATTTCTGCAAAAGTAAAAACATTTGGAGCTTCAGACTAGAATAATAATGAAGATGAAAAATCCATCCCAATCTTGTTAACCCTCCAATAGCCACAATTAATGAAGTATTTCAGTTTATATCCTGATATTCAGCAGCGCTTATGTGAGATTCATAAAGTATTAGTGGTTTTGTGCAAGGATTTCTAAGGTTGTGTATGTCAGCAGCTAAGATAGGCTTCATTTTACAAAAGTGACCACTAAGTTTTGGCATCCGAGTTTTCTGGTTTCCATCTTAAAACAATCAAGGCCTAACTCTTGAATTGCAATTAATTGAATTGCAATTTCATTTGTCACACTGAAATACAAGTTCTGGACACTTCAAAATCAAAGTTCCTCAGTTAGAGGCAACTTTTGTAAATAATGACCTTGTCACTTGTCTTTGATTCAGTATCTATGTATGAAAAATGCACCAGCAACTCTGCACAACCCAGACACCGTTTTGATTAATTTGTATTAGTAACTGGCACTTTTAAGCTTTTCATCAGCTTTAAAAATCCCTTCTACCTCATTACCTCTCTATTCACCTTCTGAAAAGTAGAACTACCACACTTTCATATAATAGAATTCAGCAACAAGAAAACTATAACCTGGGTTTCATGAGATTAAAACTGGAGCTTTGTTCCCTGGGCTCCAGGAAACAAAGTTCTTACCGCCTGCCAGTTATAATAGGCAAAAAATCTTCTGATTTGGCTTCAATGACTTTAAACATTACTTTCTGCAAATCTGAAATGCCCACAGCCATGTCTTCCAGCATCCCTGCTTCTTCACCTACATGGAAAGATTAAAGAGGTTATTAGCAGAGTTGACAGATCAGCCACTGTATAGGTTATAGTAAAGCAATATGAGGATTATATTTTCCAGTCTGTGCATCTAAAAATCACAGCCCTAAATCCACATTAAAGTACCCTACATATAAACAGCCTGATTTTTAGAACTGCTGACAATTCTGTGGCCTAAATGAGGAGTATTAAGCACCTCTGAAAATCAGCCTGTTCCATATGTGCATAGAATAACATCAGAAAAGCCATTTTTGGCCATTCTGAAAGTGTTTTTAAAGACTGTCCTGCTAATGGAGGACAAAGGTTTTGAGAATAACAACAACGATCATCATGGGAAAGGGATCATGACAGCAATCTCCAAGTGAGAAACCAAAATTGCCTGTGCATTGAAGAGCTGCAGAAATGCTAAATCCATCTACTTCAGTCAAAATCTCTGTTTTGGGGAAACATTCCTATATATCTAATTCAAATTATTTTTAAATATAAGGCAGTTTCTCCCTCCAAATGTCCTTTTTAGTACCTATCAAATAATGGCATCTGTAACAAACTAGGAATCAAACAGTTTTCAAGCTATCTTCACTGGCATGGTCAGGGCAGAGGTTCACAGAGGCAGTAACTGTTTAAATCTGCTGCCTGGATTAGCTTTATAAACCTGGTACTTTGGGCCAGGTCAAATGCCTATACAAACGAAGAGAGTTTTTATTAATCCAAGAAGTTCCACTAGCTGCACTGAGGAAGGAGTATTAATTCTGTATTAATGACAGTGTAGTTCAGCATTCTGCATGGAACAATTAGCAGCTAGTGTTCTCAGAGGAACTGAGAATAAAACAGATGAGTAATTTTTGATGCAGAATTGACAAGACAGTATCAATGACTTCAGCTGTGCTACTATATGGAAGTCTACTGTCTCCAAAGGATAATATTTGTTGATTAAACAAGTCAATTTACTGGAAACAGAACAGAGGTTAAAACAGGAACTTCCTGAATAAACTTCTGGTCTGGATACATAAGGAACTTGTCCTAGACCAATACTTACTGTATGTACTAAGGAGTCCTTCATACTGCACGAGCAATCCAACAGTATGAAGCTGTTGTAAAAATCCTTGATCATGTAAACCTGTGTGCAATTTGATTATAAACCCACAGACCAATCCAGCGAGCTATAAAGACAATTAAAAAACATGAAATTAAGAGATGTACTGATATAAGATAGTTAAAATGACACTTGCTATCATTATACACAACAGACGTAATATTTAGGTATTTGAGAAAACAGCATAGATATTTCTGTTTAGTGACTATATACATGATTTCATAATAATATTTTATGATGCATTTTTTTGTGTGTATAAAGCAGTGAAATATTCCCTTAATTTATATTAGTTAAGCTTCATTTGTTTTGTGGGGTTGTGTGTTATTTACACTGACATAAGTGAGACCAGAGTCTCTGTTGCCAGGCTATAAATACACTCTGTGAATTATGATGGATAATCCAGAGGTCCCTTCCAACTCTAACAATTCTGTGATTCTGAATAGCAGCAAGGAATACTCAAGGCTAGATTTGAGAAGTATATAATCTAGGAAGTGTAGAAACAGCTTTATGGATCCTTCTTTGTGCAAAAGGGAGAAAAAGAAACTTTTTTCAGTTCATTGCAGAGTTGCTTCTGTGATTCAGTGATACAACTACTATGGAATTCCATTTACTATTCATTTCCCTATCACATTATAAAATATTTAGGTGAACGGCATGGAAAATAGATGAAAGAGTTGTGTCAAATTGGAAAAAGAAATAAAAACAAAACACCAAAAAAAGGAAACCACGGACATTGGAATGAACAATACACTTAATTACAACAACAATAGGAAATAAGTGACACAAGACAACCTACTGCTTGACTAAAGACGATGTCTCTCCTCAGGGTCAGCATCAAACACTGTGGCAAACCACAGGCAAGTTCCTGGAGCAGAACAAAGGCCATCGACTGCTTCGCCCTGGTCACCACCTCTCCCATGCAGTCCTTCAGCGTAATCACCAGCGGATAAAGTTGTTCGTACCAGTCACCTGCAACAAGGCACATTATCCCTTCCAAAATGGAAAACTTGCAGTGAAAAATCCTTTTCCGCATGGAAAGAGGGCTGCAGTGGCTTTGTAGATCATCCTACGCTTTAAAACGACCCTGCAGCTCTATCCTAACCTTTATGGGGCAATAAATGCCACCGGAGAACAGGCTTAGAGGTAGGATTAAATCCCTGGCCTGAATCCAACTACATCCTGAAACAATAAACTTTTCTAACAGTCCTAACATCTCTGTGAAACTTGTATTTCAGTGCCATAAACAGATCATACAGGGAGACGTGAAAATTCATTTAGCACAAGATGAACACAGTGGAGATGAAGATCTCCCGTTCTTTCCAGGACTGACAACTGGCTACATAAGAAATGAATAGCATCAAAACCCAGTAAGTGGGGAGAGGAACCTATATTTAAGAAAAAGTGGGTGCTGGAAGGCGAAAAAGAGTAACTAACAGGTAAATGGAAGGATATAACCTGCTTAATGAACAGGCTGGAAAAATAATAACCTTCAGGTCACATTCTTTTTTCTTTTCAGCTTCTCTCTATATCTTTAAATATTTAGAGATATTGAACTAATTTTTTTAGATACTTTGAGCGGAGAGATTTAAAACCATTTTGAAACATGTTTTGCTCTTAAAATACCTGCTAGGAATATCATAAAAAACAAACTAGTGAAATGTTTGAAAAATGAGACTCCTTAATACATTACAAATGAAACGAAGTGATAACTAGGAATGAGGGAAAATCAGAACAGCTTACACAAATTTGCCCAGTTATCCAAGCTGTTCCCAAATTTTACAGAATTTCATAAAATCAGACCTGCACTGTAGTTACATATGGCTTTGCCTACCCCCTAAGCTGAGTAAACAATAAAACCAACCAACCAAATCACCCTCCTTCAGAATCTTACATCTCAGTTTAATTGATATAGTTTAAAACAAAAAAGAAAGCAACACTCCAGAAGAATCTATATAAAAATTGTGAATGCAATTGACTTTATACAGTCCATCACTGGTTCATATTTTCTGTAGATTAGTGTAATTAAGAATCAATGATAATTAAAATCTGTTCCATTTAAACTGTAATTAGGTACAAGATAGCAGCCTGTTGTTTCAGGTAACATTCTGAGTCAGGCCAGTGAAAGACTCATTAGGTCTGAGGTTCTTTAGGCAGGAAGACATAGCTGCCTGTTGCAATGTCAATTTGGCTAATCTCCAGAAAAATATGTAAATGAATAAAACTGTAGCCAAGAAGACTGGAGAGAACTTTGAAAACCAGAAGAAACAGCAAATATAAGGTACAGGAAAGAGGAACAAGGGTAGAGCAGTCACAGAGAACAACCTGAGTTCCTTTGCAAATAATATCTCTGTGGTCAGACAACATGTGTTTTAACACAGTCATACATATTTAAGCATGAGTAATACAGACTGAAGAACCATTCCCTGGAAAACAGCAGCTATCAAGTGAGAGCCATAACGAACAAAACAGACCATAAGCCATCCCCAGGTTACATACTTGAGCAAAAAGACGTGATTTTATACATGCCATTGACTGACACACCACAGGCCAAGGTCTGGTGTACACATTTTAAAGAGACTGCTGAAAAAATGGAGCTTGCAGAGGAGAGCTACCAAGATTTAGAGTTTAATCTCCTTAAGCCAATGAAAAAGGCTGAGCAGCAACTTGATTTCCCTTCTTCAGGAGGAGAAAATAAAAGTACTAACAGGGGTGTTTATTTCAGGGAATAAAAGCAAAAGGACAACCAAAGGCCAGAGGCTGCTGCAAGACACAGCTGAATTTAGAAATAAGGGAGGCAACAAGGTGTGACATACTAGAAGACAGACTAGACAGACCAGGCGATCCTAACTCTCCTTTCAAGTCTTAAAGTACAGTCATTTATTAAATTAACCAATAAATATATGCAAAAGAAAGCAACTGCAGCAAAATAAGATCAAAAGTTGTAATGCATACTGAACCAATGAGCAGGGCTGTATGTGATAAGAATAGAGTTTGTTGTCTGCTTCTGACTTGAGCAAATAATGAAAAAGATCATACTTGGCCACTTTAAAGTTGACTTGAAGGTACAGCGAACAGACATATGTTCCACTTTCACAGGAAAGCAGAGCTGGATACAGACACAGCCATGGATTTTGCAAGTGCTCTGACAGCCAGGGCAAGAGAAAAAGCTGAAAAAGAACTAACCACACTTTGTAAACCTGCCATTACAATTCCAGGTTATATGGATAGAGCTAAAGAGCTTTTCTGACTCTGTTTTTCATGAAAAAAGAGCATGTAGTGATAGGACAAGGCGGAAAGGATTCAAACCAAAAGGTAGTAGGTTTGACTAGACACTAGGAAAAAATTCTTTACTGTGAGGGTGGTGAGGAACTTGCACAGGTTGCTTGTGGAAGTTGTGGATGCCCCATCCCTGGAAGTATTCAAGGCCAGGCTGGACAGGGCTCTGAGCAAACTGGTCTAGTGAAAGTTGCCCCTGCCCATGGCAGGTGGGTTGGAACTAAATGATCTTTAAAGACCCTTCCAACACAAACTACTCTGTGATTCTGTGAACAGAGGGGATCACATCCTGGCCACAAGTCACATAACACTTAGATCTGTTTCTACTGAGCTGCCACTTAACCAATCCATCTGCACTGTGCATTTCTGCTTCCTTAGGAACGCAACTTTGTACGTGTCCTTACTGAACTGCATCCTAATATTTCAGCGCTCCATTTCATCAAGATCCATTCTAATCCTGCTCCCATGGTGCTTAAAGCCTCTCCCAGCCTTAAGCATCTGCAAATTTTATAAGCATCATCCATATTTCATAAGCCAAGTCAGTAATGAAAATATTGAATAATACTGGACCCAGAACAAATGTAAGTGGATTCTCCTTCATGCAGCCTTCCAGGTTGGCAGTAAACAACTGATAACTACCTTCTATTATGATTTTACAAATTATTTTGCAAATACCTTATGGTAGCTTCAAGATAATTTTCTCACAACGTTTTTTTTTGAGGGGAGACTACATGTCTGGAATACTAACTTACTAACACAAGTAATTTTTGTCTGTAATAGTTACATTAAAAAAGAATTCGAAGATTTGAAATTCTCCAGGCTGTTTTTTCATTAGAGGACATTCCACTAAATTTATTAAAAATAAATCCTGCTGAGTATTTGATGTCCTAAAGAATACAGAGCTTTACTTACATATGTATTTGGCTTTTTAGAAAACAATAAAAATTTTTGGTTTGTAGAAAACCTTACCCCTAGTGACTGAGGAAAGATAAACAGTCATAGAATATAAATAGAGTTGTACATATCAAAAGGAATGAAGATAACCCTTGCAGGTTTTCCATAACAATCCTTGTTCACACGGAAAATTCTTAATCCCAGTTAATAAGGATGTCCAGTCCCCAGAAGGTGGAGCTAGTTGGCAAATCTGAGACAGATTGCATTGTTTCTTGAAATAAAAGAATGTTTATGAATAGACAAGAATATTCTCCTGTTCATCCTTTTATTTTAAATCAAAATAAGAGGTGTATCACAGACTGAGGTCTCAGAAAAGAAAACTCTAGGAATAAAACAAGTATGGGTACTTAATTTCTGGTCTGTTAAAATCACCATGTACCACTTGTTATGCATGGTATCCTGTTGCAAATACTCCAGCAAGAATACAAATCAGGTCATTCATTAACAATGCACAAAGTTCAAAAAAATCCAACAGAAATACCTACTTATAAGTTGTTCCTTGAAACTGAGAAGCACTGTGAAACTGAAGTTTATAAAACAAACAGAAAAACCACACTATATTTTGAAGCTTATAAGTGCATTCAGTAGATTTTAGAAAATACAAGGGATAAATATGGAATATTAATACAATTCATAAAGAGATATTATTTGTAAAGGGAGTTTTAAAATCCTGGTCTAAATTCAGATTTAGATTATCCCGATCTAACCTGCCACAACACTGCTGATATGTGAGGATGCTGCTTGGTTCTGAGCTACTGTTCACATGCAGGAGTAAAGTTCTGCTACAGAGACTGATGATACCTTTGCACAATCAATTCAGACACTGAACAGCACAAATTATTGTTTCTGTGTTTAACACATTCACTGACTCACATGCATATTGACATTTCAGCTGTCAAATTTCTTTTAAATTAAAATAGCAAGATTTGCTTCCACAAAACAGCGGAAAATTCTCTGAAGAAGGATGAAGAATTAACTGAATGAGTAAACATCTCAAAAGGCATTAAGAGCAAGAATAGAAGCAACAAGGAGACTCCAGGATGATTGTTAGGTTGCTAAAATGACAAGGGCAGTCTGGAATATTTAGCATCCAAATAAAAGTGTCAAAGCCTACTGATGAAGCAAGGCAACTCAATTCAAAAACTGTGCTAGTCAGCCACTGGAAAGGAAACTAAAGGCATAAACACCAAACACTAAAAAGGAAGGATGAAATTAAAAAAAAACAGTACCACTACTATGCAGTTAGTGTGAGATTAAAACAAAAGAGTATGGTCAGCAAAGCATTGAGCAAATATTCTACATCACTGTTAAGAGAGTCGTGGCAGTTCAGTCTGTGACAGGATTTGCCCTTTGGTTGCTGGAAAATGCCCTTCAGTCCCATGTTCCCTTAGTCAACATGCCTGCACAGGCAAATGACCTGCTTAGCACTCAGCTAGTCAGATCTGCATGCTCATATTCAAGTCTCAATATGTCAAACTGCACGTTAAATTTGATAAAGTTTGGCAGAAAAGCAAGCTCCTGCTCTTTTCAAAGTCAGGCCCACTGAAGTGCTTATTAAAACATGCTGGTAACCAAAAAGGAAAAGCTCTAATGCTTTGGAATAGCACTCCTATCTCCTTTTGCCCTGGCAACAGAGAAAAGAGCTAATTCTATCACTTCTGTCTGTGCCACCTAAAATCAATGGATGGTTTCAAGTCACCTCAAAACTTAAATCATATGAAGCTAAAAACTAAACATGA